TTGTGCTGGACACTTAACAATAAAGCTAATCCTCATTAATATATAAAGGAAAGTTGGCTCAGCCAACTCATGTGGGGCGAGAAGGAATATAACCAACCCTGGGGTCTCCCCGAGTCTCATAACTTCTAGTTAACATCAGTTCCTTGGAAGCTATTTATTTTTTTATGTAGGGATGTTGTTGTACTTTAACATATTTTAATTTGTATTTATTCTGTTTTAATTCACATGTATTCTTCTGAACATAAACCGCCCAGAGTCGCTTTGCGGTCAGATGGGCAGTGACAAATTTGAAATGTAAATCAATAAATTAAAATCTGGGGGAGATGGGCGGCATAAAAATTTAATGATAAGGAAATAAATAAAAATAAACCTTCGTTTGCGGGTACCTAAATCAATCAATCAATCAATCCCTTCCTTTGCAGGTGCCTAAACTAATAAGTAAATAAATAAATAAAAATAAAGCTTCCTTTGCGGGTACCTAAACTAATAGATAGATAGGCAGGCAGGCAGGCAAAAACCCTTCCTTTGCAGATGCCTAAACTCATAATAAACAAATAAGTAAATAATAAATAAACCTGCCTTTGTGGATGGCTAAATTAAAAATGAATGAATGAATGAATGAATGAATGAATGAATGAATGAATGAATGAATAAAAATAAACCTGCCTTTGCAGATGCCTAAACTAATAATGAATAAACAAATAAATAAAGATGAACCCTCCTTTGCAGATGCAGCAGTTCCAGCGCTGGGGGCCAGCGCTTGAAGGACTATAAAACCTGCCCAGCGAAAGTGGCCGTTGCCCCAGCAGATGCCGTGCTGGACTTTCCTAGCCGTTACTCGCCCTCCCCGTGGCTGATTGAGGAGGGATCTCCCCACACAGTAAAATCTGGACCCAGTTAATAAACCTGGACTCGTCCTGCCAGAAGAGACCGTTGTCCTTTGGTATCCGGCCCGCAAATGCTGACTGGCAATAACGGGCAGAAACTCCGAAGAGAGAAGCAGTCCTTCCGTTCACCAGGCCCTTTGCCACGAAGGAGTTTACCGACCCCTTGAACAGAACCTCCAACCAAATGGGCAGTTCACAGAGCAGCAGTGACACATGGGCCATGGATCCCGTTAAGCCTGTGGTGTGAATTTAACCTGAGTGTTTAAAGCAGCGTTCCTCAATCTCAGCGGCTTTAAGACGGGTGGACTTCAACTCCCAGAATTCCCCAGCCAG